AGAGATTAGCTAGGCTGCTTGGGAACTTGAATAGCCTAGAACACAATCTAGAAAAGTTAAAAAACAAACAAAAAGCAGCAACAAGTTTTTGAGTAACAAAAAACTGTCCTACATTTATGAACTTTAGGTGAAGAATTCTCACCCAAGCCTGGGTTCTATTGATACATTTTTATTTTTTAAATATTAGGGATACTCATTTCTTTCTTTCTTTTTTTTTTTTTAAGATTTTATTTATTTATTTGACACAGAGAGAGAGAAATCACAAGCAGGCAGAGAGAGAGGGGGTTAGCAGGCTCCCTGCTGAGCAGAGAGCCCGATGCGGGGCTTGATCCCAGGACCCTGAGATCATGACCTGAGCCAGAGGCAGAGCCTTAACCCACTGAGCCACCCAGGCGCCCTATTGATACATTTTTATACAGTGTTAACAATCTATTACTGTCCACCCTGCTGGAAGCAGAAGCCCCTGTCAGCTAACATTTGTGGAGCACTTGCCCTGTGCCAGGTACTATGTTAAATGTTTTACCATACATTCAAGAGACAGAAGAGATTACTTTCAAGGCCACAGGCAGTAATGAATGAAACCCGAACGGGAACCCTTGCTTTAAACAACAGCCATCTTCCAGCCGCCCAGCAAGCAGTGAGACTGGTAGCATTAAGATAGAAATCCTGACTGCAGGAATGTGAAGGGAACTGGGAAAAAAAACAGACACTAAAACTGCAAGTGCCTAGAAGCCTGGGGAACACTGGGTGCAGGAACAAAGGGCCTTCTGGTAGTTCCTGAGGTCTGTGCTCCAATACAGCACAACCCAAGGGACTCAAATTCCCAATCTGACTTTACTTTTCCCGGTCCTGAGAAGGATTACATTGTGTTTGCTAACAGCTGTTTTAGGAAGCTGGAAAGTGAGGTATACATTCTGGAATAACTATCCCCGACCCTCACCCTGCAAAAAAAAGGTGGAAATACACAGAGGAAAAAAAAACTTTCATCCTAAAAGTTCAGGGATTTAAAAAAGTCTTTCTTGAAACGCCCCTTTTTAAACAAAGAAGGTGCCAATCTACTTATATTTGCATAATAATTTATCTCTTTTAACAGCCTTTCATATTCACCTATTTTAATTCAGCACTTGGGGAAGGGAGAGGAGTGGAGATGGGGGGTGGGGTGGGGAACAGCATTAACACCTGACTGTATCCCCCTTCCCTCCACCCCCCCCCCCCGGGTCCAGAAGTTAGTCGGTGGCGGAGCCAGACGGAATGGGTCTCACCAGCCAGGGCTGCCTTGGACAGTTTCCAAATCATTAGTTCCTCACTTATTTTACATATCCCAGGACGTCTGATGAACGCACCTCTGGATTATATGTCATCTCCTTCAACCCAGGCGGGCTTCCTGGAGGAAGCCGACTGGCAAGGCAAGCCCTGCGATGCCACCTCCGTCGCGACGGTCGCGTGTCACGTGCCGCGAAAGAGACGGGGGGCGGCCGGGGAGCGCCCCGGGGGGGGGACCCCCTCCCGACCCCCCCCCGACCCCCCCTGGCCAGCTGCAGGCCCTGCGTCACGTGACGAGCCAGGCCTCAGGTCACCTGCGGGAGGGTGGGGGCGGTCGGGGGCGGCGGGCATCCGGGCTCCCCACTGGGCAGGCGGGGCGGGCGCGAGGCCGTGCGGGTCGCTGGGGACCGGAGCGGCGGAGGGGGCGGCCGCGGCGGTGGCGGCGGCAGCAGCGGCGGCGGCGGAGGGGGCGGCCCCGCGGCCGCGTCACGTGGTGCGAGGCGGGCAGCCATCTTGCTACAAACACAAACAGAGAGGAGCGGCCGCCGCGGGAGCGCCAGCGCCCCCTCCCCCGCC